CATCCACACATTTAGCTACAATTATTTGTCACATTCACTCACTCTTCACACGTTTTAATTAATTTTACCTCCTTCTTCTCATTCACTCCCCCGTCCACACATTTAGCTACAATTATTTATCACATTCACTCACTCTCTACACATTTTAATTCAAGTTTCATTCTCACATTCATTTAGCCGAAAACATTTTCCACATTCACTCAAAAAAGACGGTCATTTGATCGAAAAAAGGTAAGTAATTCAAAATTTGTATTTAATATTTGTGCTACTTAGCAGTTAGTTGAATATATTGAAAGAAAATATATTTTTAAATTACAATTTACTCGAAAAATCTCGTCTCTGTGTCATGGAAACGCTGCTCTCCGTGACACTCTCATCGTGTCACGGAGACACAGAAATGCAACCACCATATATATATATATATATATTTATTTATTTATTTATTTATTTATTTTTGTAATTACCCACCCAGTATGTTTTACATCATATGTAAACAAAAATATTACATTTTATTTAAAATATTAATTTTTGATTTTAATTTTGTTTAGTATACAAGACGTGAAAAAAATTATATTTGTTTGAAAATATTAATTCTTAAATAATTTTACAATTAACAGTACTTTATTTTACTATAATAGATGTGTACAATCAAATGAAAATATTAATTCTTGAAAAAATAATTACAGTTGTTTAAAAATATTAATTCTTGTATAATAGATGCAGATGTCTTTAGAATACGTTCTCTCTCTAGAACAATGTTTTTCTGGTACCATCCTTCAGTATTCAAACCGTCAATACGTTCAAGATTTTGTAGATTTCATAGATGCAAATTAACAATATTATTTGATGTGTAGTAATTTTTATAGATTTATATATGGAGCTGTTTTTAAAGGAGACGAAGAACAATTTACTAGCAAATTGGTACACGAATTTATAATGAGACTTGTGCATTGTGGCAAAAATAATGACTTTGGGTACGGTTAGATGACCATCTTGCTAGGTTTGGCTGCAAGAATTTTGCCTCATTACTGGACTACCTTGCCATGAACCATTCGTAGAAATTGATTATAACAACGATCGTCTTAGAAATCAATATTTCAGTGGCACAAAAAAATTAGCAATAGAATGCTTTTTGAAACTTTTCACATGTGTGAAGATACAGAAGATAAATTTAAGTTGGGATTAGTTATGTTGGTTGAGTGTTTGTTGAAACTGATTTCACGACAAGTTGATTATAGAACTCTGGGCATAGTTGAACATCTGGATGAGTTCCTTACGTATCCGTGGGGCCAGATAGCATATTTCATTTTGTTAAATTCATTGAAAGAGTCACAATTGGAAAAAATACTAAGGATGCAACAGAATGGACAAATAGAATGTAAGTATGTATTACAAAGCTATCCACTCGCATTTCAGGTATTATGTTCCTATTCTAATTACTTACGTATTATGTATAATTTCCTTGTACAAAAAATAAAATTTATACATCACATTTCTCTTTCTTTACGTTGCAGTATTGGATATATAAAGCGTTTCCACGAATTGGACAAAATTTTGGTGGCCGTAAATACAGAACTGTGCAAATTCCACGAATCTATAATTGGAGGCCGAATACTATACTAAATGAATCTGTTGTTAAGCAATTTTTGGATACTCAAGATGTATGAATTTTTTATTTTCAATGTAGAATGACATTCGTATTTTATTATTAACAAGTTCAATTAAACAAATGGATTTCTGATAGTCTGTTATGATTACAGATCGAAGTCATTGCAGTGCTGCAGCCTACAGAGGAAGAATTACAAATACCCTGGTACACAAATCTTTCACTGCCGGCTGACGATAAACATAATATATTAGATGTCATTGTCACTGGAGAAGTAGATAATGTAGTACCACAAATATCGGATAACATCAGTGTGCAAGAAACGACCAGTCGTGGTACATCGAGAACTTCAACTGGAGTTGGGCCTAGTTCTGCTTCTGGTGCCTCCAGATATATAACTGAAGACCGAATGGAAGAAATGTTGGGTATGTACATGCAACATACGATATCAGATGTGTCTAGTCTGTGTGGCAACTTGAAAGTAGAATTTGTTGAAGAATCCAGAGCCCTGAACCAGGATATCCTTGAAAGCCAAAAGCAACTGTTCGAACAACATAACAAATTGATGCAATATTACATGTTATGTGGTATGCAGTCATACATGGATAATTCTCTATCAAATATGTTTAGCACTCATATGGCCCAAAAATCGCAACAACAAGAAGCCCATTATCAGGCGATTCTTCGAAAACAAGAAGAATTATTCCAGCAGTAACAGGAGCCCATACAGTCTTATATTGATACAAGTTTATGTTCTGTCAGATCTTACATTGACGAAAAGAATGAGAATATGCTAAAAAGATTATCTAACTGGGAATCCAACATGGAATCCATTATAGGTTCCGTGCAGTAGGATGTTCCTCTCCATGCAAGTCCAAATCCTACTGTTCAACCGCATGAGATATCAACGTCTCAACCAGTAGAAAGTGTTGACATGCGGAGAAGAGAAAGGGAAAAGAAGATAAAATACACACAGGCTTCGTCATCCACAGGTCGTCCCTTAGAAGACTATAACATGAACAAGTACAAAAATATTAGGAATTGGATATCGAGAAATCAATCTGGGTAACAAATGTAACTCATTTTGAATAGTCCGAATGCTAAACATTACTTTATCAATGTCAAAATTATTTGTTGAATTATTTGACAGTAATTTAAATTATGTTATACAGTGCATATTTGGACGATGGCCGTGGCAATGTCTATAAAAGAGACATGCTAAAAAGTTTAATGAATCCGACGAAGGATCTGAATATTGCGGTGAGTAAAGGTTTGCAATCAAAATAAATTTAATTTCGTAGTTAATATGTCTAATATATGTTACATATATTTATTGCATTAGCATATTGAGTTGGAGCTAAAGTTATTGAGGCAGCGTATGAATGAAGATTGTACTCTCGTCAATAAAAAATATGCAATTTTGGATTTTCAATTTTAAGAGGAGTGTTGTCAGCAAATGAGGTGGCACATGGAATATAACCAGAGAGGTGAATCGGATGGAACTCGCCTACAAGGCTACGTCAACGGTACATTGCCTGTAACTGGTCGTCCGTGGATGAAATGCAAGTATTTATTAATTCCAAGTTCATATCCAGGCAATGAATGTTATCTATTTCTGGTCAATATTCCTGAATGGAAATTCTACATATACGACTGCAGCAATAATGTTCACACACCTGATGCAATCAAGGCACACACAGAAGTAACATGCATAGTCCTTCAAGGATTATTGCAGTGTCTACCCCTGTCCACCAGACGAGATATAAAGAAACATATAAATGATCCAATGAAGGTGAAGATTATACCTTATCTACCGTGTACGAACAATGGGTGAGCACTTCAACTCTTGTTATTTACTACCGTAGTTAATCTATTGTATATACTAATTTCGACTAACGAAAAATCATTTATTGTACAGGCTAAATTGCATAATGTTTGTACTCAAGTATATAGAATGCTTTGTTCTCGGGCATCCAATAGAATCAGTTTCAGCAGAGAGGATTTCAATATACAGAAGAAAGATTGCGGTCGATTTTTTGAATAACGAATACTGTCTTTATCCTCGATAGTGAAACAGTTGTCGTGGCTTAGCTGTACTTTGCTTGTGTGACTGTTGATGATCAGTCGGTTCATGATACCGTCGTTTGCAATATGTGTTTTGCTTTATGTGGTGGTACATAACATGTATTTTGGTTTTATGTGGTGGTACGTAAAATGTATTTTGGTTTACACAGTGGTTTGCATATTTCGATTTATATGGTGGTATGTAATATGTTCTCGAACTGTCATTCTAGACAAATGAAATATCAAGCGTTGAGATTCACAGCTATGTAATGTTGAGAACGACATATCAAACGTCCGGAAATCGAAGAAATGTAAAGAAATATCGTATTTTGGTCCAAGTGTCGTTCTAGACATTCGTAATGTCAAGTGTCGAGATTAACAACATTTAATGTCGATAACGACGTTACAAATGTCGAGAACGGCATCAAATGTCAACATAAATATAATCCAACCAAATTTAACTAAGAGTGAAGGCAACCAAATGGTGTATTAACTGCAAAATCTGTAGCAAGCAGGTTTATAATTCCTATAGCAATTAAAGTTGGTATGCCAAGCACAAGTACGTTCTCAACCATATTGATGTGAAAAAAGTTGTAAAATAATCACCATGAATGATTTCAACCATATTGGTTGGTAAGATATCTTATCGTGCATTCAACGGACAAGTGTTTCTCCACTATAAAATGTTGGACTTTACTTAAGTATGTACATACGAGAATTTAACAAATTCATAACACTAGTTAGTTTTTCCATTGATTATGTCTTCATCAACTCAACATACTCCTATTTTTAATGTTACTATCACTTTTGACCCCCCGGTCGTCCGCGGACAACCCGATCATCATAGACTCGGACTCGGATGATGAAAGCAATATCTTTGTTCCATATGTTCGTCAACCTTCGAACCGCCATCGTAGGGTTTGCCTTCAACCAATCTCTTTTCCGAATCTAATCGACGAAATTGAACCAATTCAAGTTCATCGTGAGATCGTCCTAGTACCGGTCCAACCGGAAGCACATCATGTGTTGTTGGATGAAAATGTTGGAGCAGTTCCCGTCGAAAATGAAGATGTGATCATCATAAGCTCCGACGAGGAGTATGACAATAATATGTCCTCTTTGTCCATCGTGGAGGATATGTAGAAGATGCGGTCATCGTAAGTGAAATGTTTACGTACATATAGTAGTGCTATAAAATCCATATAGCTGATGGATATTTTTTGGGGTGATCACCATTTTGTATAATAGTTGTCTACGATATGTATTGGAATTATGGCTTCCTTTTGTTGTGATTACCATTTTGTCTGCTCCAATGACTTAGGAGAACGAGTCATTCATGGGTTGCTTTTGTATCCATTACCACATTGTGTCTGCAATGATTAAGAAAATCACAATGATGAAATGGATATATGCTTGTTCACTTATACGATGAACAAAATGATATCGTAGTGAAATGCTCATAAGAATATATGTAAGCACCATTTCCCTTGTTGGTAGTTATACCCCAAACCTGGCCTCTCTTGTTTGTATCAATTATGACATTCTAAAATGAAGTGCTGTTTGTATTTAGTGAATGCCCATACGAATTTTCCTGTTTGTGCGCTATAAAATTTTGAACGACTACAATAATATAAGAGAAAAATCACAAAAAATGGGATGAATCTGTATAAAGGATTCAAAATGTATTACAAACTTAATTTTACAATAAACAATTGCAAATAAGTGATATCAAGAGAGAACGAAGAAAGAAACAGAAAGAAGTAGAAGTCAAAAATATATTCAAGAACATTTAAAACAAGAGGTAGAAAGCAAGTAATACAAAAGAAAAAAATTCAAAACATTAATAATTCATGTTATCAAGGCATTTGACGATCGGAATACACAATGTCATTCAAGTATACGTGTCACTTAAAGATGTTGAATTCTGACATGTTTGCCTATTATGTCCAAAACCCTCCACATCGGCCGCATTTTCGTCTCAACGTCGACCTTTCAGTTCTTGACCGTTGACGTTGGGTAGGAGGTCGACCTGGTGCTCTACGTATATTCGGGGGCAAAACTTCGACGGAACGAATAGACTGAGGAACAACCCAATCTAACTCTCGACCAACGGGGTGAAAAACTTCGTTGTACACAGCTCGCCAATATTCTGTGGTGTAGTAAGGGGAGCACAAATCATACAATGATTTTTCTTTTGCGCAAGCAGCTCGAGATGCATGTGAACATGAGATTTGTCGCATCTGAAACTCTCGACATGAACATGTGTTATCTATAAGATCGACAGTACAAAGTTCGGTAGCTATACCTACCTCAAAAATGAGTTCGTCCAAATTTCGTACTGGTAAAGTTGCACCGGCGTCGAATAATTTTCTCAATTCATCATTAATTTTTGGTGTTACAGTCGTACTACATTTCGTGGATGCACTTTTTCTCTTGTAGAACCATCGTTGCATCAATGACGTAATATTTTCGATCAACCAGGTTATAGGGAAACTTCTTTGTCGCCTTAGGACTGAATTCAGTGACTCCGCAATGTTATTCGTCATAACGTTGTATTGATTACCAACAAAATGTGCCCATGACCAAGTGGATATACCGGCACGTTCCAAGTAAGATGCCATTGACGGTCGAATGGTTCTTATTTGTGTCATGAACAGATCAAATTCCGATACGCGGTATGCTAGTGCTGCTCGCTTGAATAAGAAGATGACATTGCTACTGTTATACCTAGCAATAAGATTTTTCTCGATATGCCAGATGCAGGCACCGTGGTGAAAAAGTGGGAACAACCTCGTAATTGCCCGCTTAATACTCTTCTTCCTGTCCGACACAAACACTAGCTGGTTTGAATCATCAACGACATCTTTCAACTTCGCAAAGAACCAATACCACGATACATTTGTTTCCCCATCGACAACACTCCACGCAAGAGGGTATATTTGTAGGTCAGCATCTTGCGTTGCAGCTACTAGTAGTGTTCCCTTATATTGGCCCTTCAAATGACTTCCATCAACATAAATTACTGGCCTCATGTATTCTCGAAAACCACGTAAACTAGGCCCGAACGCTAAGAAGAAGTACAAGAACCTATTATTCGAGTCGAGTTCGATGTGTGCAATAGTTCCTGAATTTTTATCGGTTAACATGTGACAATATGATGGCAATTTCTGGAAACTTTCTTCGGGTGTACCACGAAGAAATCGAAGTCCCTTCTCTTTAGCCCTCCACGCTTTGTTGTAGGTAATCCATACACCAAACTTACGTTCCATATCCCCAATAATACCCGCAGGAACGTATGATTGGTTTGCATCGTCCAACCTTCGCATTATGTGATGCCCAATTACTGCACTCATTGCGTGAATTTGTGCATTTCGCCGAACGTCTAGAGAACATGTGTGCTCAGGTATGTACTCTCGAATCGTAAATATTTCTGAAGTTTTTATCTTAGAAGCTCGTACTAGCCAATGGCATGTAGTATCAACACAACACACAGTAAGAGATCTAGGATTCGACTTTTTAACCTTGAAATGAAACTTCTCTTTCAAACCTTAAGTTGAAGCCTTGTGTGTAACTATTGTTTGCTAAAGAATATCTGATTCTCCACAATATCCTCTTCATCAATCAACTTAATTGCATTTCGAATAAACAAACTGCCTTCACCTAAACTTTCATTCATATTATCAATCGTTTGTGGCTCTTGTAGTTCGCACATACCGACTTCATCGCGTCCACACAATGCATCTTCTATTGGTGACAAAGGCTCAACTCCGACATGCAATTCGTGCTCTTCAGTATTATATTCATCTGCAATTACACACAACGCTGCTTCTGTGTGAATAGACATAAACCATTGCAAATCCTAATCGTCGGCTACATCAGCAGGGGGTATATTCATGTTCGGAACTGTAAATTTCAATTGAATTCAAAACTTCATTCTATCAACATTCAGCTTCTCGAATAATTTATGTACAAGCTCTTCATATGTAATATCATGTCGAACAACAATTGATGTTGTTCGGTTCCCTAACCACTTCCACCCGTCGTCTATGTTGACGAATCTACCACCATACGAGACAACAAATCTCTTAACATCTCCCATATCTGCATGTCATAAACAACAATACTATCAACCACTAACGAAAATCGAAAACGAAAATGCTACGTGCATGCAATATGTGAATCGCTATACACGAAATTTTCTCAACTTACTCAAATTTTTAATGTTATTGTCAACATTTGACAGTGTCGAGAATGATAATATAAATATCATTCTCGACATTTATAAATGTCGTGAACGATATTTATACCATCATTATTGACATTTATAAAATGTCGAGAATGAAATAACGAGATTTCATGTATTTATCATCTTCTTCAACTTCAACCACCATTTTTGTAAGAATTTATTCCACCATAAATGATATTTTAAATACAGAAGTATATTATCTAACTAAGTTATTTAAGATGAATGGTACCAAAAATATATACTCAGGATAATTTTGTCCATTGAAGGGAAAAATACATTATCAAAAAATTGAGATTTGAACATATATAACAACAACTACTAAATAAAATTTATCAAAAAAATGAGAGTTCGAAGAAATAGAATTCAAAGAAATATAACTTCTACCGACAAATGATGAAAGCCTAATCAGCTTCAAATTTCTACCATAGTAAATTTCTTAAAATGATTTCTTTGAAGTTGGAATCATATATTTCTTCGTATATGTTAATGAAATTTTTGCTTCTTCTTCATTTGTTCTAGAATAATTGATTAAAAATATAATTAAAAATATAAGCAAGTGGACTCACCTAAATAATAGCAACATTATTGTGGCTTCTCGAGGAAGTTATTTGCTCTTCTTAAAAATTGTGCCAAAGTGATATAAAATTGATTAATCTTTTCATGAGGGTAAAGTAGAGATTTTGATCTAAAAGTTGGACATTTTTGCAAGGATTATAAAAAAAGTACACTTTTCAACTTCAACCCTTATAATTGGACATTCTTGAAAATGCCTCTTAAATACATCCCTTAAATATCACATCAAGTGAGAATAATTTTTTTGACGATTCTAAACTTGTTACAATTGAACTACTTTAATAGTACCTTATTTTTCGCTTTTCAGTATGTATTTACATTCAATTATACATTTCACCATTTACGTGCATGTATAATGATTAACATTTATTTTTAGAGGCTTATATTTCTCTCAAATCTATAATATATTAAATATCACATCAAATGTGAAGTATTTTTTGGATTCTAACACTTTTACAAATCAATTATTTCAATAATACTTTACTTTTCGTCTTTTAATATGTAATAAATACTATAAAATCATTGGTCCTGTATGAATTTCGTGTTATTAATTCTTAATTAATAAACATTCATGTTAATCTAGACTCAATAAATCTAGACTTGAAGAATCTTAATTTACATGAACATGGAGTTATTATAAATAAATTTATTTTTATTCAAATGTCTATGAATCTTGGTGGTTGTTTAAATTAATGTGTTAGCAATTAATTTTTATGTTCTAAATGTAGCATAACAAAGTTGCTCAATTGTAGTACTTTATCATCAAAAAATTTTGAATTATAGAAGTTGAGGTTTTAGAATATAATTTCCTTCTCTTAAATTTATATCCTAACTTTTATTTTCTTTCATATTCAGTTTATGTCGCAGCAGATTGAAATATTAGATCTTATAAAGTATTTCATCATAACGTGCAATGCATGTTTAACTCTAACTAGTACTCTACAAATATTTCTAAAACTCATTTCATGAATCGTTATTAGAAGCAATTATTTCAACATTTTGAATCAGAAAAAACATTAGCACTTCTATTTGTTTCATAAGTTTGTGTTTCATTTATAATTTTTAAATGTTATGTTAACTTATTTTTGCTTGTTTAGATAAATGAGTGCAGAGAATTAGGCATCTTTTTTGAATTTTGAGCAAATTTATGGGGAAAAACGTATTTTGTGCTTTGTTAATTGGAGAGTCAGTTAAATGACCATGTCAATTGTTAATTCATTACAGAAAGTATCCAAAGATTATGCGCCAAGCAAAAGAAACACTCACATTTGTAAATCAAACTCAAAAATGGGAGAACAAGGAAAAAAAGAAAGGAAAAAGAAAGAAAAAAGGGAGGAAAAAGAAAAGAAAAGAGAGAGAACAATGTGTAAGAGTAATATCAATGTTTGCTTGTTCTTTATAAGTTACAATGCAATGTTATTTAAAAGTTAAAACCGAGAAACCAAACCAAACCAAACCGAACTGAAGTGGTTTGGGTTGGTTCGGTTTAAAAATTAGAGTGTGTTGGTTTTGATTTTAATTTCACTCAAACCGACTAATTTGGTTTGGTTTTGGGTTTAGGCCAAAACCAACCCAAACCAAACCACGCCCAGGCCTATACAAAAGCAAGAAAAGTGCAGCTCCCAAGAAATCCAAGAATTTCTATTCCATGGAAAATAAACCCTTATCAAACACACCAAAGTTCGAAAATGCCACCCAAATTCCATTTTCCATGGAAATGTTTTGCCAATCAAATGGTACCTTAGTGAACTTTTTTTAATTTTATATTAAAATGTAGATATGAAATCGACACTCCTTACCATTTATTGCTTTGGTGATTTTGTAAGTATTTCGGACCCGTATTTATTGTGAAAGTGAAATTCTAAAGCTCAAAATCTAGTTTTCCTGAGCTAGCCTGCCTACCATCATCGTCAAGCCACACACATTGATGGAGACATCAAAACCTTGAAGCTGGTATCCATTTTCACTTATCTTTGTGTTAAGTCCTAATTGTACTTGGCTATATCTGTATCCAAAATCATAGTTCTATGAGTTATAATTAAAGTCAAAAGAGTTTGGGTTTGGTAGAATCTTAAAAGGATTTGTCAAGAATATCAAGAAATGGGAAGACGATCACTCACTGGCGACGGTCGAGCGCTTAGAGCAGGGGCATTCGTGCTTGCAATCCACCAACCTCATATTCAAGCAGCGAACTTGCTGCTTGCTTGGCTCTAGTTTAGCACTCAAGCTGTGGTTCAATTCAAGAAGAATCCTAATCAAATTTTTATACAGTTTTCAATGTCACCTAAAATATTATCTATTATATATATACAATCATAAGTTCATCCTAAATTGAATCATTATTTTTACATTAGAGATCATATTATTGAAGATCCAAAATACATTCCATTGATTTTTGATTTAATCACAAGTTCAATTCTTTATAATTGTTCTCAAATATTTGTTATTACTAATTGAGCTTTTATATTTAGTCAAGAGATTATTCTCTGAAGATCAATTACATATTTCAATATTTTCTTATCTTAGACGCATATCAAAATTCAGAAAGATCTAAATATCAAACATCAAAAATCCTACCTTCACCTATAAGCTGTTAAAATAATTTTAAACCTGGAGAAGAGGCACTTGGAGTTTCAGTACTCTAGAACGAGTTCATTCTTGGTGATCCAATGGAGAGAAAAGTAATCCAAAGTTTTAGGAAGTGCGGGTTGCACAGTTGAAGAGATTTTTCAATAATTTACAAGATAAGGTCAAAGGCAATTAAGATTTAGCAGTGTTTGTACTAATTATAAGTTAACTTTTCTAGTGGATCTTTCTGACAATGTTTGCCTTAACTCTTTTTTTTTTTTTTTTTTTTTTTTTATCACTGTGAATGATGAGTATGAAGGTTAAAAATTTTTGTTTTAGAGCAAGACAATCGGGGGCTTAATTTGGATTTAATCCTGACATAAAATTACGTAAATTGGTAAAATATTCAAATAATTATATTCATATCACAAATTTTATTTCTTTCATCACATTTTAATTGTACTTAAAGATCTTAATCTTTGCTCATTGTAATATTTATATTCTTAATGATTTTTCTTGTCATTTTTATCCCGAAACATTTTATGAGTCAACACATTTTATATTTAATGATAGTTTTTTATCCGAAAGTCCATTGAAGTGACGTAAAATAACTTTTTTTCACCATACTATTTAAAATAAATAAATAAAAGTACAAAAAATATATTTTCCCTCATTTCAAAGCATAAAAATAATATATTTTGATATAAATAACTACTTATTAATGAAAATTTAATGAAAAAAGTTTGACGAAAAAAGTTAAGAAAATAATTGTTACAATGACCAAAGATCAAGGAGTTTATCTACAATCAAAATGTGGTATATCAAATAAAAATTGTGGTGACTATACAACTTCCCTATAAATTTCCTTTTTTTAAATCAATTTTTATCATGCGACGTGTCATTAACTTACCATAATTAATTTACCTATACAATGATGATTGACATTGTTTGATGCAGCAAAATTTG